TTACAACAACAACAACGTTGACTACAACCACGATCACAACAACGGCAACCCCTTCATGTAAGTTTTTTCTAATTTCATATTAAGTGCTGACAAAAATTAGAGAATTGTCTCATTGTGTCGAGTTGATTGGTGGTTCTAGATCAATTTACAATCTAGAATAGACAAAAAGCCTGCAATCACATGCACTCGAGCACTCTGTACACTAGTGATGAAACCAAGATTTTAGGCTTGGTGGGAGGGAGAAGGAGCTGGTTAGTCTCAATATTTTTTGACCTGTGCAGGTTGCGCTCTTTCTTGTATTTCCCAACATTTTGAAAGGCAAAGCAATTGATGATGTCCTCACATATAGAATCCAAAGGAGAAAATGCGAAAATTCCGTACTTCAGAGTACTCCAAGAGTGTGTCAATCTCATTCTCTAGAACTCTTTAGCTATTTGAAACTCTGCTATCAATGTATGTTACGTACATATTATCATGAGTTCATTTCATATAATTTTATCTGGCAATAAAGTCAATATACCTGATCGTACTTCAGAATTTGAGTATCAGTGAAGTACAATCAAGTATTTGGACTTTATTGTCAGACAAACTTATATAAAATGAACTCAAACTAATTAATATACTTATGACACACGTTGATAATAGACTTGAAATAGCTAAAAAGTCCTAGAGAATATTTTGGGTGCACTTCTGGACTATGTTGACGTACGGTAGAAGTACGGCATCATTGCTTTTTCTCTCGAATTAATAACATGAACATAAATACATTAAAAAATAAATACTTTCAATCGGGTATTCAAATTTTTCGATAGAAAGCAATATTCAGACTTTTTGCTCCCATGCTCTGACGTATCCTCGAGAACTTTTGTTTTCAAACTTTTTCACCCTGATGCCTCATTCTTCGGAAAGTTGTGCACAATGATATTCAAAGACTTTTTCGTTGTTCGTGGACTTCAGTGGAGAACTAGTTTTGCAAATTTCATAACTGCGACATCTAGTGGTAAAATTTTTCTTACATCAAATGGCAAAGTTAAGCATTCTTTAAAAAGCAGGTTCGAACATCGTTCACATTGCTTTTGGTTTTTCTAGCATGGTTTTTCTAAAACACGAATTGTTTTAACAAAGAGGAGTCGAGTCTAACAAATTCCGTCAAATTTTCATTCGACCCATCTCATTCGATAGAGAAATGAAAAACGAAGAGATTGTGGCATGTCTAGGCATGCACCAGTCCGACCGAGTACTTCCCAGCGCTATTGGATATCCATTAAACTGATCTAGAACTGATTCGATAATCAGTATTTCTGTTTTTGATCAAAGGTTTTTGGGGTAGGGGAATCCGAATCTGGAATCATAAATTCAAAATTTTGATTTCGAATTTTTACATTAAAAGTAGGTTTTTCACTAAAATAAGAAGTTTTTATAAAGTTTGACCAAAGGTAACCGGTTCTGAGGAATCCAAATCTGTAATCAGTTTTTTGAAAATTGAGGTCGACTTTTTTCATCATGGAAACGATTCTTTACGAAAATAATGATATTTCATAAAGTTTGATCATAGGTAATCGAGGTCAAGGAATCCGAATCTGAAATCCAAAATTTTAAAATTTTGAGTTTCATCTTTTTCACTAGAAAAAAGATCTTTTAGGAAAAGGCTACAGTTTTTGCAAACAAGTCAAACTTAAAATTTTCAAAAAACTGATTACAGATTCAGCTTCCTTGCCACCCGATCACCTTTGGTTAAACTTTATAAAGACTTCTTATTTTCCTGAAAAACCTATTTTTTAGTGTAAAAATTTGAAATCAAAATTTTGAATTTCTGATTTCATACTCGGATTCCTCTACCCGGAAAACCTTTGGTCAAAAACAGAAATACTGATTATCGAATCAGTTCTAGGTCAGTTTACTGGATTTTTCAGTAGAGCTGAGTAGTACTCAGTCGGACTGGTGCAAGCATAGTCGTCGTCGGACCTAGCTAGGCCGAGCCCGAGTGGCTCGTACATGCCTAGGCACTACTCTAAAAGATTATTGTTCGTGAGTCGAGATATGATTATTTTTCAATATCTTAAGTATAATAGATTCAAAATCGATCAACTTTTTATTTTTACGACAAACTGCGCGACTATTTTAACTCACAATTTTCTTTATAGCTTTCTCTGCACGCTGAATTAATTTTCATTTCAGTATTCTGTTGAACAATTGTCGATTATTGATAGTTTTTAGAGGATACTAGAAGTACGGAATAAAATGACATATATTTTATTTTTATTTTCGGTTAATGCTTGATTTTCAAAATGCCATCTGGAAGAGCGTGAAAACTAACAGATGTCCCACAAAGAATGGACCTCTCATAATTTTACCGAGCACTTTGTAAGATTTCATTGCACTAACTCATGATTTATATCAAAATGTATTCCAATTAATTATCTATAAATCTGTATAAACAATTTAATTTGTTAAAAAATTGTTACAAACTTGGAAACAAAACTAGTCATTCATATTTTATAAATAGTTCTCAGCCGTCATCAGTTGATGGCCTTAAGTATTTGTTGTTTCAGTGTGAATAATTTAATACATATGTGAGCATCGAGGGTAATCGACATTGGTAGAATTATTCATTGCTGATATCAAATTAATGTCATTAATTGTGACGTCTCTTTCAGAAATTTCTTTGAAACTCAGGCTCATATTATACTAAAATATTACTACAAAGATTATGTTCATTATGAATGTTTTATATCACTCTATCGCTAAAGAAACATAGAATCTTTGTAGTTTTATATTGGTGTGATATTGGCTACACTTGCAAAGAAAGATCTGAAAGTGGGTTCTCAATTAATGGTTTTAGTTTGATATGAGCAATGTATAATTTTATCCATTTCGTTTACCTTATATGTAACATGTCTTAGATGTTCCATATTGAAACAACAAATAATTTCGACCATTAATTGATGACGCCTGAAAGCTGTTTATAAAATATGAATGATTCATTTTGTTTCGAAATTTGTAACAATTTTTTAACAAAGTATTGTTTTACAAAATATTTTAATTTACTATGTGTCAAACTTCCACAAATCATCGTTTGTAATAACTTTAATTTTTAAATGGTTTAAACAGATTTATAGAGAATCAGTTGGGAAACATTTTGATATAAATCATAGGTCACTGTAATGAATTCTTACCAACTGATCAGCACAATTATCAAAGATCAATTCTTTATGCGATAGCAACTAATTCGTACAAAGTATCTTTTTTGTTTTAACTATTTTATAGTCGGAAGTAAAGCTACCAAGTTCTTATAGACATTTTAACTTGTGATAATTTTCTACAACATTTATTGGATTCTCTCCTTTACATAAGTCAGATTGTGTTTGAAATTTTTTCAAATGATAAGAGTTTGTAGAGAATACTTTTCTGTATAAAATAGTAATGTTTTAAATCGAGATCATATCTGTTCTCCTGAACATGATACAGTTATTGTATGAATGAGTCAGAAACAAAAGTTGATTGATACCAATAGAAACGAATCAGATTCGTATTTTCCGAAATATTCATCCAATCTGTTCACATGCTGTCCCTTTTTCAACAGCAAGAAATATCACACGCAACGACATATAGTCTTCGATTGACGAGCTACTTTTCTGAGAAGTTGGCTCTACTCTCTTCATATTAGTATCCACACAACTTTCGTTTCTGATTGATTCATAAAATAATGGTGACATGTTCAGGAGAAAAGATATGATCTTGATTTGAAACATAACCAGTTTATACAGAAAAACATTTTCTACACAGTCGTAGTATTCGAAAAAAAATTTAGATACAACCTAACTTATGTAAAAGAGAGAATACAATAAATTTTGCAGAAGATTAACACAGTCGAAAAGGTGGTTATTTAATTGTATGCTCAATAATCATTGAGGGGAAGGGTAGTTTGGCTCCAATAATTGTGCACATTCATATACTATATGCTAATGGCTACAATATGGATGAGACCGAGCCATGATGACTGATGTTGTTGTCGAGATTTGAACCCACAAAAAAAACTCACTCTGCTTATTGATCAATTGTGAAACCCATTGTGCTTTTAAGTACATTGAAAAAAAACACATATCTCGATTCTAGAGCAAAAATAAGGAACAAGTGATAATACAAGCTCCTCATTTTTTACTTTCTCTATCGAGCGAGAACATCCCACAAAAAAAAGCAACAATATTTTTGGGACTAGCTCAATGTTTGGCAATTTCTAATCACTTCACAATCCATTGTTGTGGTTTTTTTTCTCAAAATTTAGACTCGATGAAAAATTTAGATTGTAAATTAGATTAGTTTACTATCTTCAAAAACTCTATGAGCTCCATTGCTCTACAGAAACTGATGATCGACATCCAAGATAGAGGTCAGGCACTTAAATGGTACTGTCATTTCATTTTGGAAGCAGAAACTTGTTGAAATTCTTGAATTAGCCCACTACTGACGAAGAGCCCTTTTTCACTGTTGCAGTAGCTTGAGCATAGTGGCAAAACACGCTGAAATGGCAGTAAGTGGTGATTTTTCTCAACTCTCACTGTTTTAACGAGTGTTTTGCTATGCTACAACTGACGAAGGCATTTCGCACGAGATAGATTTGTTTTACTTAATTTCTGATAAGATAATTTTCAATTTGAAAATCAATGTCTTAAGATCACTGTTAGCTTGAAAATCGAAACTTTTTCTATATACGGTCAAAGAGTTTCATACGAATGCGTTCTTTTGGATATGAGGATGTGCATCGATTCTGCTAATTCCATATCTGCTCAAGATCTCTGTAGTTGTACGGGTATAATTACTTTCACAGTTTATTCCTTCGATTAAAAAAAAATGAATCAATATTGCATGAAATTTGAGCAGGATTATGAAGTAACATATCGATCAATCTTTTTTTCATAAGAATCATGCATAGATCCTACGCGCAAATTACATGACTCACGCATTGATACTTCTTTCCAGGTTGGTTCTATACAGGCAACATGAGTACTGCACGATCTAGTCATACTTCATCCATATTAACGAATGGAGCGGTTTTAGTTAATGGTGGGTATGCGGATGGCTATTTAGATATTGTTACAGAACTCTATGATCCATCCACAGGAGCTTGGACGATCACTGGCAACATGATTAGTCCGCGAATGTATCACACGGCTTCTGTATTAACAAATGGGAAAGTGCTAGTTGCTGGCGGAATATATCCTTGGGAACCCATAGCAAGTGCAGAATTGTACGATCCATCAACAGGATCATGGACAAATGCTGAAAACATGAATACAACACGATCGTCGCACACTGCATCCACATTAGCAAATGGGACCGTACTAATTGCTGGAGGGGCAAATGGAGATTATCTTGTAACGAGTGAATTATACGATCCATCAACAGGATTGTGGGCAAACACCGGCAGCATGGGTGATGCACGAGTTAGTCACACTGCATCCGTACTAACAAATGGAAAAGTGTTAGTTGCTGGTGGATCTGATGGTGGTTCACTTTCTAGTGCAGAATTATACGATCCATTAACAGGGCTATGGACAAAGACTGGCAGCATGAAGGATGCACGAGTTAGTCACACTGCATCTGTATTAACAAATGGAAAAGTGTTAGTTGCTGGTGGATTAGGTGATGGTTCACTTTCTAGTGCAGAATTATACGATCCATTAACAGAATTATGGACAAACACCGGCAGCATGAATGATGCACGAGAATATCACACTGCGTCTGTGTTAACAAATGGAAAAGTGTTAGTGGTTGGTGAAGTTAATGAAGGCGATAATGGTATGCGTTTTAGTGCAGAATTATACAATCCACTAACAGGGTTATGGATAAAAATCAGAAGTATGAATGTTCCAAGACTCTTTCACACTGCATCTGTGTTAACAAATGGAAATGTTTTAGTGGTTGGTGGAATCCATGGCTTATTTTCTTGGAATAGTGCGGAACTCTATGATCCATCAATAGAAGGTTGTACAAATGCTAGCAACAAAAATACTAAACACATGAAGAATATGGCATCGATATTAAAAAATGATAATGTTTTATTTCCTGGCGATCGAAATTATTTTGATTTGAATAATACATAACTATTTTCATGAACATTGTTACATTGGGGTGTGGGTGTGGGTGCGGGTGTGGGTGTGGGTGTGGGTGTGGGTGTGGGTGTGGGTGTGGGTGTGGGTGTGGGTGTGGGTGTGGGTGTGGGTGTGGGATCTATGCATGATTCT